ATAACAGAAAAACTGACAATTACTACTATCCTCATTTACTTCTTTATTACATGTTTATATTGGTATATTTTGGGTTAACTATTAAATGCATTTATTTAATACACAAACCATTTTAAGGCATTGAACTTATAATGGTGAGGAAATTATAAGAGGAAACCTAAATAATGTCAAATTTGTAAACTAAATGCTTAATACATGAATGTTCCCAAAATTCCATACACAACTTGGGGGAGGTGATCTTACCTATTCTCCTATAATTATTGTAGGATATGCAGCATGCTATTTATGTATCAAACCCAATTTTGTGTACCAATAACTCTGCGATATATAATGTAACCTCCTCATTAGAGAGAGAAGAATCAAGGAAAGTGGTGTGGTATGGTGGTTAAGAGCATATTTTCAAATTCTCACTCTGTCATCTACTTAGCTATCTGATCTTGTGGCAAATTTCCTAATCTCTTTGAACTTCACTTTTCTTCTCTGAAATACTGGGGATACTAATGGTAATAATAACAAATAATCACTAACATTTATATATGGGTTATTGTGTGACATGCTTTATTTTCATTCTTTAAATTTATTCACTCTTTTAATTTTCACATCAACTCTATGAAATAAGCAAATATTACTATCTCATTTTAGAGGTGAAGAAAATTAGGAACAGAGAAGTTAAGCAACTTGTCCAAAGTTAAACAGCTAGCAAGTGGTAAAGCTGAGTTACCCAGTTCTTCTTTCTCTAGAGGACATGCTTTCAATTAGGTCATTTCTATCTCATAAGAATTATTTATTTCATGCTTGTAAAACACTGAATAGATCTTCATGTTAAGAGTTATTCATAGAGCTTAGCTATCATTCTAATACATTAAAAATAGAACAGATTACCAACTAGTGACTTTGGCTATTAAAAAAGAATGAAAAGATAATTAAGGTTTCCCCTCACCAATTCTGTTTAAATTAATAATATATGACGACAAAGTAATAGCAAATTTTGATTTTGTGCTAATGGTACTGTAAGACTAGTGTGGTTATAAATTCAAGGGGTTAAGAAATAAATTAAAGTTCTGTTGATTATAAAATAATTTCCAGTCTGGCAAAATTTTAATTATTATATTTGCAAGATTGACTTTAATATTAAAATTATAACTTTGCAAAAATCAACTAAATGTGAATATGTGCAAACATGCCAAGGTAAATTATTTAATACCAAGTAGATTCTGTGTTATTATTTTTATTAATACTGGAGGTTTTAATAGAGCTTGTTAATGCTTTTTTAGCATATTATTTTTGCTAACTAGTATTAAATATATTTACTTTAAAATAAATAATAACTGTCTACAAGACTTACATTTTACAACTTTTTAAATTTTAGGATTTGAAAGTTAAAATAAACTTTAGAAAACTCAGATTATTCTCTTCAACAAGATATTCTAGGACTAAGACAATGAAAAACTCTATTAAATCCTTACATATATTAGCAAACATTCATTGAGCAAGTGCTCTCTGCTGGGCTCTGTGTGATTCCTAATATCATTGGCCACTATGGAATCTATTAATCACCATGGGCATATCTAGTCTAACAGCAAAATAGCATAAGATAAGTTAACACAAATGTATTTGGAAAGAAAATTTTAAATAAAGAAATGCAAAGCACAGTACCACATTTAGCCAAGAGTTAGGGAGTAAGCTATATGTTATATTTTGAAACTAAGCTTGCTTACTTTTATCTTCTCTGTCATCTATTTATTAACCTGCCTCCTCAGAATAAAATGAGACTTTTTAAGACAGAATGGAAAACATGTCCAAATTTATTACAGCATGAGTAGGTATCCTGGATAAAGAAAAACTGCAGAAAGGTAAGGCTGCAAACTCTTACGCCTCTTGGGAGATAAAAAGATTTGACAGAAAGTGAACAGATTAAGCAGCTGACTCATCACCTTCCAAAAACTTCTGGACTATCTTCTTGATCATGGGAGCATTTGGATCCAGGCAGATTTCCTTCCCATTCTTCAGCGTGGCTCTGCAAGAGAATATATAATTTTGTGTGTGTCCTGTTTTATCAAAGGGATTGATGGGGCTGAACAAAATAGCAGTGATGAGGACTGAGGCAGAGGGCTTCCCTAATGAGTTAATAATACAAAAGCATGGACTTACATCACTTCGACATTGGGGCAATGGGATCCTGCCCTGAACACCTTCAAATTTTGGATGGTTCTGGGATGAATGCCAGAGGTGGTCGTTAAACACATGCAGCGAAGTTCATCATGGCGCTCACCTTCCACACTTGCAGCTGGGATAGAAACTGAGAAGTGGTCATAAGTACCTTTAATATCTATCAACTTGATTCCTCAGTCCCCTTCTTTGTGAATTGTAGCTCGCTCACAGCTCTCAAGGCCACTGTGAATATGATCTGAAACCTATAGTAAAGTGCCAGCGCTGAATGCCAGGCATATGGTAGGTACCCATTAAGCTTAGCTCCCCCATTTAGAGTTGTTAGTATAATGGCTTTCCCCAGCCTCAGGAGCACCAGGACAGCTGACACCCAGTCCCCCACCACACACACACACACACACACACACACACACACAGCAACAGCAGAAGCAGCCACAGAGGAGGGGAAGCGGGGACTCTACCTTCAGGTTCCTCTAAGTTTCTCTTTCTTTCTCCAGTGGTGGAGGGAATCATCACAGTCAGGAGCAGTGACAGCTGCAGCAACACCTGTAAGACAGGAGCGGAGGTGGCCCTGGGTCTGAGGTTCATGGCGGAGAGAACTGATCTATGAACCTTGAGTTGTTCCCAGAACCTGGAGACCTCAGCGTGAGGTGGACTCTTCCCAAGGAGTCTGCGGCTAAGTGGCTTTCACGCTCTCCCGGTGTCTTTTATACACACTCCCTCATGGCCAGTAAGGACAGAAGGACGGGGATGGGGGAAATGAACGCATGTGGTAATATTTGTATAAGGGTAGTTATGCCCAACCCAGATAAACACCAGGCAAGTTAAAGTTCCTGCTAAATTTCATTCGGCACGTTGCTCCATATTCCCTCTCCCGCTTTCTCAATACTGATCTGCCTTACACATATTTAACGCTGAACTTAGGTAAGAACTAGACTGAAATATTGCATATCTCTTCTTTGTGTAACTATGAAATATGCCCTGCCTTTCCTATAATGTAATTTATGTGAAGCCGAATAGAAATATGTGACTCTTTGCAAAGAGAATTATTTTCCCTTTCTAGTTGCCTGGGAAAGCAGGTGTTCTTATCTTGGCTGTTGATAAACACTGGGATTCCCTTGCAGTGTGTGTGGATGAAATGAACTGCTCACCACCAAAGCCTCACTTTGCATGTTAGTTTATGTGGGTTTTTTCTGTCTTTGAAATGTATTACTTTTTTGTAATTTTATTCAGAAAAGTAGAATCAAACTTACCCTCCCTTGTGTTATAAAATAAACTACTTGTTTCTACTGTTAGAATATACCTTGAAAAGCAAGACCCAGCATTCTTACTTTTCCTTTTCTTTCTTTTTTTTAAAAAAAGAAATATATATTTATTGCTTTCAGAGAGGAAGGGAGAGGGAGAGATAAACAGAAACATCAATGATGAGAGAGAATCATTGATTAGCTGCCTCTTGCATTCCCCACACTTGGGATCAAGCCCGCAACCCGGGCATGTGTCCTGACTGCGAATTAAAGGATGACCTCCTGGCTCATAGGTCAACTCTCAACCTGAGCCATGCCAGCCAGGTTTCCTTTTTTAAAATTTAACACAGAAATATATAATTTATTTTAAAGGATTCATACACTGCAGATATATGTGGAATAAAACATGCAAGTTTCTCTTTATTATTATTCCACATTCACACTCTGTGGCAGTAACCATCAGGAATAATTTGGCTTTAGTGTTTTATTCTGTCTGCATTTATATATACACATGTACATATGCACAGAGACACACAGAATACAGAGAGATACACATACATACATAGAGGTAGACATAGATGTTTTTATATAAATGGGATCATTATACAGCTTTTGTCCTTCAAAAACACGTCTCATGCTACCGCAATATAGTTTTGCCCCATTGTGTTCCCAGTTGTACACTATACAAATTGCAATAAGATCTTTATTCCTTAATTTTCAGACCCTAATTAAGGGACTTGATCTCAAACTCCACTTGATATAGACAAAGCCCCACAGAGATACAGAGGTGGACCTACACACACAAGGGGGCTTGTATATGTTATTGTCTGGATCTCTGTCCCATCTATAAGATTTGCTTCCTTGGCTGGGGACTGTACACTTTTAAAGACAGAGGCATGTCCAAGGTTTCTTTGAATGTCTCATGGATCCTATAGCATGTAGGGTAATGAATGCAATATACAGGGGTTCTAACCAGTGCTAATGAATAAATCAATGAATATGTATCACATAGAGGAAAGTTTCTCTTTGTTTTCTAATCAGCTACAATTCTCAAACCAAATTCCACATGGCCCAAAGTGCCCATGATTTTAAAAGATTTGGAAGGCAAGACATAAAGGATAAGGCCCTGGCCACAAGTTATCTTCCTTCGACAACTAGATTCACATCTTACACAATATTTAAACTTCTGATTTTCTTTTCGCTTAATTTTCATACTTTTAAAATTCTAGAAGAAGCTATAAAAATATTAAATGTGCAAAATTACTTTGTATCAAAAGAATGATTACAGTAATTAATTTTTCCAAGTTTAAAAAAACTTTTAACACAAATTTTCCTATTGTTTATCAGTTATCAGCTATACCTCCTTAAGATTTTAGTTCCTGTTTTTCAACATATTCCTTATTTTTCCCCATCCCATTTGTTATCCTCTTATAACTTACAATCTAGCAGTAGAACATATTAAATTAAAATGGTTTTCCTCCTCTCCCAAGCCAGAAATTCATAGTTTAAGAAGCAAGCTTAAGGAAAAGCTTATGCTGGAGATTAGTATCCTAAGAGCTGAGATGTGGAGTGAATTGTGGAGAGAATCTCAACAGAAAACCTAGTAAGGAAAGCAAATCTCTTTGTAGGTCTTCCTGAGTGATGACTTTAGGACCTTTTACCATCACTAAGACTGATATATTGTTAATTTGCAGATCAGATGTTTTGATTCAAACATAAGCTCAAAACCATTTCCAGAGCAAGATATAATTTTAACATTATTCATAGCATCTTTCTCTTTCTGTTCATCACAGCCCTCCTGATGTACAATATTTATTGGCTTCACTGAACTCAAACACAATCCAAGTTTCTTTCCTGGTTTATTGAGTAATATTACTCAGAAGTTCCTAATCCTTTTGGAGGAAAGCCATGCAAAGTCTTTTGAACTAATGATGCTGTTTGAGTTAGTAGGTACCGGGAAGGAGGAACACGTGTAGCACTTAATCAACAATTGTATTTTGTCACAAAGGACACATTGCCAGCGAGATTCATGAGTGAGCATTAACAAATTTCTTGAGTCACTCAAATTTTACAAGCTTATTAGTCAGCATTTGAGGTAAATAATTTTTTTGCTAGCTTTCATTTATTTAATAAATTTTGATTATTTAATATGTTCCAGACATTACAAAGTTCTTTTGTGTGACTTAGTCATTTAACCCTTTCTGTATAAAAAGTGAGACCCCAAATATTTGTGCAAAGTAGTGGGATATAGGTACTAATCTATCACTACTACCACTACTGCTAACAGCTCTCATTGTCTTCACATAATTTTCTTTGGTATCCTTGAATAGAAACACAGTACAGACACTGATGAACTGGCAGTACAGAAATGGATAACAAATTTTTAAAATCATTATTCAATCCAAAGAAATTATCTTTTAAAATTATAACTTAAATGAATGCTAGAAAATTAGTGTCAGAAGTCCTAGGGCTTAAAAAATAACTTGACAGCCTTTTTATGAATCTTACATTGTCACCCTGGTGGGTTTTCTGGATTTTTTTTTTTTTTTTGTGGTAAGTTACTTTATCTCTTTTCCTTTTAAGACATTGTATAAATAGCAGAGTCATCCAGGAAACTAGCATGTTTTGTAAAACTCAAGACATAATTTATCTGCTAGCTATTTTAGCAGAAAATATCCAGAGACATTGGAGGACCAATTTCCATAAAATTAAAACATATATTAACTCTGACTGACATAGAATATTTTAAACTGACACTCCCAAGTATAAGGAAAATAAACTATCTCCTGCAAATTAGTCATAAAAGCAATTGGTGCAAATGATCCCAGGGATAATAAAAACTTGGGTCAGTTGATTAAAACACTTTCATCAATAGATTGAAGTTCTAGTCAACAAAAGATTCCCTATAAGTGCTGAAATCAAAATGTTGTTGTTTTTGTATAACTGAGTTGACAAGAATGGTCCAGGTCTCAATTAACAGGGACTCATTCAATTGTGCGATACATTGCATGGGGGTGAAGCATGGGAGGAAAGGGTGAGTAGAAAGGGTGAAGGAGTTGAGAGGGCACATCTTCTTTGATACTCGCCTATAAAATAAAAGGGTAATATGCAAATTGATCCTAATGGCGGAACAACCAGAATGACCATTCGACCAGTCACTATGAGGCGCACTGACCACCTCTCGGTCCCTTTCCCCGGCCAGCAGGCTCCCATTGCCTAATGGTGAATGGTGAACCGGGGGTGGGTGGCGGGGGACGTGGCTGCACCAGGCCAAGGCCCCTGCCCTGACGGTGGTCCCACACACAGAGGGCAACGTGTGGTGGGAGCAGGGCCGGTGAGCAGGTGGGAACAGCTGACCTCTTGGTCCTTCCCCCTGCCGGCAGGCTCCAATCACCCGATGGCAAACAGGGAGCTGGGGGTGGGTGGCGGTGGGGGGCAGGACTGGCTGCCAGCCAGCCGGGGAAGATGGCCCTGATCACAGGCCAGGCTTAGGGACTGTACCCAAGCACAAATTTTGTGCACTGGACCTCTAGTCCTATCTAATAATAGACAGACATGATAATTAACCATACCTCCGACACGCTTCCCATTGGCTAATGAGGGAGATATGCAAATTAACTGCCAACCAAGATGGCGGCCGGAAGCCAGGCAGCTGAAGTGAACAGGAGGCTTGCTTGCTCCAGTGAAGGAGAAAGCCAAGGTTCCCTGCCTGCCTTGCCGGCCTCTGAGCTGCAGTCTAAGAAACAATGTTGCAATTATAGAAGCTAAACAAAACCCAGAAACCTGCTTTCAGCTATTAGAGCTGGAGTGAGCAGGACTGGAACAATGTTGCAATTATAGAAGCCAAACAAACCCAGATATCTGCTTTCAGCAGCTGAGGCCTCAAGCTGGAGCTTGCCTCAGAGCTAAAGCCAGCTCTCAGCTACAGTGACAGCCATAGAAGGTAAATAAATCCCAGAATAAAAAGAAAAAGAAAAAAAGGAGAGGTTGGGAGCTTCAGTTGCCCGCCAGACTGAAAACCACCTTCAGCCCCTCACCCAGACTGGCCAGACACCCCAGTGGGGACCCCCACTCTGAAGGAGGTGCAACCAGCTGCAAACAGCCATCAGCCCCTCACCGAGGCTGGCCAGGAACCCAAGTGGGACCCCCACCCTGATCTGAGACACCCTTCAGGGAAAACAGGTGGCCCCCACCCATGCACCAGGCCTCTTATCCTATATAGTAAAAGGGTAATATGCAAACTGACCCTAACAAGGGCTGCCGGGCTGCCAGAGGGATGTCTGATTGCCATCTTAGGCCCAACCCCCCAGGGAGCAGGCCTAAGCCAGCAAGTGGTCACCCTCGAGGGGTCCCAGACTGCAAGAGGGCACAGGCCAGGCTGAGGGACCCCCTACCTCCGAGTGCACAAATTTTTGTGCGCTGGGCCTCTAATTTATTATAAAAGATCACTTCAATGTTTTTCAGCCTGAGAATTTTTATTTTATGCTGATTAATAT